TTCTGAAATTTACGTGTTTTAATAATTGAAATCAAAATTTCCATGGTAACAGCTCGGGCGAATTGTTTAAATTGGGTAGGCGTGTGTTGGGTGTTAATAATACGTATCCATATAGAGTTACTTTCTTGGATGTCAAGTCAGGGAAAGGTGGGGGTGTCTAAATTTGAAACGGAAGATGTATTAACCCTAGTCTGGTATGCGTGTCTATGGAGATTTATTTATTTTTTTTATTAAAGGGATTTGTGCATATAAAAACTGCCGTAACGTTTGTTTTTTATCAGGTTCACACACACACACACACACACACACACACACACACACATATATATATATATATATATATGTGTGTGTGTGTGTGTGTGTGTGTGTGTGTGTGATGAACTCTCGTTGTTTTAGACGTATGAAGAACTGACAACTGCATTCAGTTCTTATGTTTGTGTCTTATATAAAACTTCTATCCCGTGACTCCACGTATTATGCAACGGTACGGATCTCATAACAGAGCCATAGGAATGTTTGCTGATGCATTTCGACGCTGATTTTCGTCTCCTAGCCGGTCAATACGACAGATTTCGAAATTTTTGATACAACTCTGGCACAAATATTTATAGTTATTTATATCCATGGTAAATCGCTCATTGTTTGTATGAGACACATTGGCAGTTGAGGGGTTACTCTTTAGCTTGTCTTTATACCTGAGGCACGGCTGTCCAATAGTTCATTGTCCAGTGTCTAGCTGGCTTTCCATGACGACCTTAGGTATTCTGTCGTCATTCATTTCTTGCAACAAGAACAGCACAGTGAAGTTGTGACTGCATCTGGAAAATATCAGTTCAATGTTGCATTTTGAACAAATATCAGCATTTGACACCCTATCATCACAAGTATAGCCACAGATAGCCACATGTCCTACAACAGTTGTTGTCAAAACGGCTGCTCTATAAACCAATTTGATACCGCTGTCCTTCCATAGTCAGAGGAGAAGCTTCCCAAGTTGTTGCCTGGTTGCTTTGACAAACCGATTTGTTGTTTCATCACAAAGGGATGCATTTGTATTCATCTTATTCCTAAATATGTAAATGACTTCACATACATGAATTTCATTCGATCAATCTCTATAGGAGTGTCTGGATGTTGATCAACTGGGGAAAGTTGTCTGACACCGTGAATCTGCTTTGGGTGAGGAGGCTGCTTGTGTATTACCTACGTTTTCATTATGTTAATGGTAAGGATAACCGGTTGACAAGTTATTGGAGTTCTACTGGGGATGTTACTACAAGTACAGCATCATCAACAAACAGGGGATAACGAATGGCTCTCGGTCGAAGAAGTGTGTTATATTTGAACCACTGATGGTTGAAAAGGCCTCCACTGGTTTGAAATTGAAATTTAACACGAGTGTCCATATCACTAGAGGCATATTTGAGCATTACCAAGAAGAATAGTGCAGAGAACGGGGTAGGTGATGCTACCAACTTTAATTCTTGTTATTTTTAACATGAAAGGAATGTATAAATTTAAAAGTGAACATTGAGATCAACAACTAGTGGCGAGTCTGTTTCATACTTTTAGTATGCGTTTAAATGTTTACTGCTTTATGCATGTGTTTAAGCATGAAAGATACTCTCTGCTGTCTCTCTCTCTCTCTCTCTATATATATATATATATATATATATATATATATATATATATATATATATATGCGTGTGTGTGTGCGTGTAGAGAGAGAGCGAGAAAAGAAAGCGAGAGAAGATGAGTATTGGACGCCCTATCGTCACAAGGATAGCCACAGGTCGCGCGTAGACAGCGTTTGTGGAAGACATCCAGCTGATTGATATATGACCTATATGGAGGCCATGATTCTCAGCCTTACATCAGTGTGATCAAAACGACTGCTCTATAAACCTTTATTTTGTTGTCCAATTTGATACATTTCTCCTTCCATAGGCAGAGGGGAATCTTCCCAAATGCTCTTGTTTTGATAATCCATTTTGTTATTTCATCATATAGGGATGCATTTGTATTCATCTTAATATATAGATGACTTCACATACTTCAATTTCTTTCAATCAAACTGTATAGGAGTATCTGGATTTTGATGGACTTGTGGAGATTGTCTGTTTTGGCCGAGGAGGCGACTTGTGTATTACCTTAGTTTTCTTTCTGTTAATAGTAAGGTTAATCGGTTGAAGAGTTTTGGGGCTTCCTCTAAGGTTGTTGCCACAAGTGCAGCATTATCAGCAAACAGCAGATCACGAATGATCATGGATCGAACAATTGTTTTAGCGTTGATGGTTGAAAAGGCAACCACTGGTTCGAAATTGAAATTTAACACCAGTGTCCATGTCACCAAAGGCATATTTGAATAATACTAGCGCAAAGAGAACAGGGACCAAACACTACTTTGCTTTGTTCAATTTGTAACTCAAAGCTTATTTGACTTTGTCTCATGACTGTAAGGACAGAGGAGAAAACTGCATTCTATTAGTTTTCTAAACGGATGAATACTGCTGACCTTGTAAATTAACATCTAAGATACGGATTCTATAATTGGAGAACCACAGGCAGCAATGGGAAATTTTACACACATTTAGACCGTCGGGGAGCTAGCTAGCGAATGTGGACTTAAGAATCAATACTGTGTGGTAACTGAGATCAACCTTGTATCTTTACTCTCAGTGTCCACATTATAAATATTTATAGAAACACATTTGAACATTCTCTGTCTCTATTATATATATATATATATATATATATATATATATATATATATATATATATATATATATATATATATATATGGGTGGGTGTGTGTAATGGGAAACGAAGTTTGAAATCTGTTGTAATTTTGCTTCATTCTCAAAATGTTGTAACCTATGGAAGGTTACTGAATAGAATAATCACACGAAGATTGGTAATGAACGATAATACTTAGAACAAGAACAACACATATAAGATTCACCAGTGGTGCGTAAAGTAGTTAACTGCTAGAAGTGAGTCAAGTGAATTCCACAATGAATCTCTAGCAGCAGGATATCTGGCAACTGCCCCACGCGGTCAGATCTGGTACGAGGACGAATTTAATGTGAGGTAACCTGGGCCCGTACACTCGGCCAAAAATTCTCTGTAGGCCCCCATATCAAACGGTGTTGGGTAGTTATTTCCTGAGACGTGACTCTGCCCATCGATATAGCCTCGTCTGTGAATCCTATCTGCCTGGAGGCAAAGAGTTTAAATAGCACATCTGGAGACGAATCTCCAACTGCAGACTAACATACAGTATTTACTACTGTATTTATGTGAATGCAGACATACCCATTATCGTCCGTAGGTATGCTACAACGGAATCCCGCTGGTGAACACATGTTTTTATTAAGATTCACGAATGCATAGACCGCTATGTGACGTTATTTAAAAAACAAACAAACAAAAACAACAACAGGGCGTCTACTCAGACATAGGCACACACAAAATATAACGTGAATTAAATAAAATGTCCAGTCTGAAATTCTTTGTATGTATTATGGTCCGGTTCCTTGTACCACGGTGATAGTCCATGGTAGAACCAATAAAGAAGAACTCGAATACGGATATGGAATAACACAGATATATTACAAACAGGAATATATACAGAGAAGTAGAAAGTGTTAGTACGAACAATCAGGTTTAGTAGTAATTGTCTGAACGCGACTTTGTTTCGGACTGCCTCTGACTCGACTGATTGACTCGTTTGCTCGCTGACTGACAGACTCCTGACGGACTTCACTCCAGACATCAGACTGAATTCGCTGCTTCCTCTTGAGGCGAAGTATTTATTACGTATGGAATAGTCCATTATGTTATTATTGGTAAGGTCCCATAACAATATGTTACACGAATCGGTAAGAACCTAACGAAGAACGGAGGACACAAGGCATGAAACATATTGTTTCTGATCACAAAGATAAGGACAATAATACACATGGAAATAATATAAATAAAGCACTTGGAAAATAACCATTCAGGAACCTGGCATGTTTTTGGTTATTCTGTTTTTAATCATAAATATGTATTTGAAGAATAAGCATTTGAGATATTTATTTTTTTATATCTGGGTTTGGACGTTACACGGAGCCGGAAACATGCAAGTGATTCAGCAACCAAGATCCTATAACTCTTTAAAAGCATGAAGCAAACATTCATCATCTCGAATGTCAATAAGTCCGTGGCCTGAGACATTGATAAGATGAAATCTTTCCGCAAATGTTCACTCTATAAGAATGTTAACTATAAACGGTTAAGAGCGAGAGCTATATAACTTGCTAAAAAAAAGGAGTATTATGAAGCAAATATACAAAAAATATTGTGTTAAAATGTTCTTTTTAGCATGAAGCTATGGACTTATTGATCAGCCTCAAGTTACGCTCAGAAACCGGAAACTCTTTCAGACATTTGAGAGACTTGATTATTTTTCACCTCAGTTTTCTTCTTCTTTCTCGATCACAATTTTGTATTGTTTCCTTTATTTGTTACTTCTACCAGTTTCTGTCTTCTTTTTTTTTCTATGAATTCTTCACTTTCTCTTATTTTCATTTAATTCCATCTTTTTTTTCTCCTTTTTCTACGTCTTTTCCTTTGATTTTTTTCCTTTCAAATTTCTCTCTTTCTGTTTCATTTTCTTTACTTTCTCTTTTCTTTCTTCTTTTCTTTCACTTTTTTTTCATTTCCGCTTCGCTTTCTTTTTTGACATTCACTTTCTCCTCGATTTTTCTCTAAGCTTGTCTGATTCACTTCTCTTTGTGTTTCTCTTTCACTCATTTTTGCTTTCCAAAGTCTGTCTTTTCATTTTCTCTTCCGTTTTTTCTCTTCCGCTTTTTCTCTTTCACGTTTCTTTCTCCAACTCTTTCAATTCTACTCTCTTTCTTCAACATTTTCAATCTTTCAGCCCTTTTTTTAATTTCTTTTTTTCTTTCTCTATTTCTCACGCTCACACACACACACACACACTGCTTTTCTTTTTCATGTCTTCTTCTTCTCTGCCAGTTCACACTTTTCTTGCAAATGTTCTCTTTTATATTTTTTTTAATTTTTAGTTTGGCTATCACATCACATTTTTTTCTTTCATTTCATTCCTTCTTTTATTTATTCCTTCATTTCTTTCTTTCCTTTCTTTCTATCTCTCTCTCTTTCTGTTCGATGACCTTTTCGTTCTTTCCATATCTCTTATTCTTCCATATCTACTTTCTCTATTTTCTTTTTTTCCATTTCTCAGTTTCTTTCTTTCTTTTTTCTTCTTTCTTTCTGTTTTTCTTTCTTTCTTTTTTTTGTTCTATTCGATGACCTTTTCGTTCTTTCAATATCATACATATCTTTCCATATCTTTTATCTCTCCATATCTTCTTTCTCTATATTTCATTTTTCCATTTCTCATTTTCTTTCTACCCCTCTTTCTTTCTTTCTTTCTTTCTTTCTTTCTTTCTTTCTTTCTTTCTTTCTTTCTTTCTTTCTATTCGATTTCCTTTTCCTCCTTTCAATATCACACTTATCTTTCATTATCGCTTATCCCTCCATATCTGTTTTCTCTATTTTCCTTTTTCCATTTCTCAGTTTCTTTGTTCTTTTTTTCTTCCTTCTCTAATTTCTTTTTTTTTCTCCTATTGCATCTAATAATGAATCTTTTCAGTGTTGAAATAAAAACATCTTTCCATTACCTATGCAAACAGTGTTCAATTATTGAAGAGATATTTTCGACAAATACACGGCATGCATACATTCTGGGACAATACGCATTCAATTCTCATGCAAGAATCAAATAATGAATTGATATGAGGAAACCTGGGTATTTATTTCTTGCATTTACATTCAACTCGATTTTTATGAGTTAACAGGAAACTGCCATTAGCTCATAGTAATAAATATTGCTTTGGCAAAATCCAAAACCTTCAATGAGTACAAGGAAAAAATAACCATGTGTGTGTGTGTATGTGTGTGTGTGTGTGTGTGTGTGTGTGTGTGTGTGTGTGTGTGTGTGTGTGTGTGTGTGTGTGTGTGTGTGTGTGTGTGTGTGTGTGTGTGTGTGCGCCATTAGCCATTCTTTTTGATGGGCCATTTTTGTCTTCGGTCACTGAATATCATGTTAATGTTATTTTCGTATTAATGGTTTCCCCGTCGGTCCAGCTGGGGTGATTAGTCCTATAAAAAAAAAAAAAAAAGGATGAGACATTTTGTTCCAGATTTTTGAAAGACGAAACTTTCAAAAGAGTAACTAGTACAGCAGGAGTTCAGCTGCAATGTATCCGTTCATTTTAAATTATTCTGGCAAAAGGCCACGCAATAAGAGCAACCAGGTAGGGAACAATGGCAAATATATACATCTGTGGACCAAGATGGCTATAATGGAAGCGTCCTGTAGGTAGTTTCATAATTCTGGGATAGGGTTACGTGAAACGTGTTCCAAGATAATGGGCCATTGAAAATGGAGCACAGTGGTACATAAAATAAGCGTCCGAAGATAAACTAGTAAAGCAGAAATGGCTACCGAACAAAACGAAATTATCACACAAACATACAGTTGCTGGATAGATATTTTATCAAACTGGTCTGAGGCCGCAAAAATGACTGCTGACTCTGTACAATAATACAAGACTCAAATCCGACGGAATTAAGGAATATTGCTGTCACGTCTCGGCTGGTGATGACCAATCTTCACTTTATAGCCTTGAAAATGTTCGGAAGACTTTCCGATGCCTTGTGCCTGTTAACGTGTTTTCTCTATTCCATGGCAAATTCTATGATGACCTCTATTATTTAATACCACCAGTTAAGCTCTTTACAGTGAAGACCCACTTTTCTACATCCACAAAGTTTAATCATCCTCATTCCCCCGGAGGTTACAATCAAATTTTTTCTTCCCAAGAACCATTTCTTTATGAAACAGAATTTAAATATGGATGCATCCTTTGCTTAATCCTCTTACGTTTCTATCAGTTGACTTCTACTTTGGGTGGCGCTTGAGCCTTTTATTCTATAAGCAATAGTGGGTAACATAAATTCAGTTAATACTAACTCAACCGTAGTTCTTTATACATATTCTCCATATAAGTTTAGTCTGGCACAAGATGTAAGAAAAAGAGTCCCAGTTGATAAATACACTTAAAACAATATTCCTTATTACTATGAATGTTATATTTTAGTAGGTACACTTTGATTAGATAGCTCTGCGTTTTATTTATTTTTATATGAGTGAAAATTTCCTCATGAAAGAGCATGTTTGCTTTGCTTGTTTAACGAGCATAACAACATCTCATGGGTCATGTAGTGCCGAAATGCTCAATAATGTATTGCCGGTAATTTTTTGTAATGTATATTTATATTTTCATTTTTTTGAAACCAGGGTCACTATCTGCCCATGGTTGGGACCATGACAGGTGCTACTTTCCCGGGTTAGGATGGACCTGGGAACAACAGCAATTAAGAAGCGGTTCCATGCTTTTCAAAACCCCCCGATCAGAGGCCTTGCTACTGGATGTAGTTTATTTTCGTACCCAGGACGACCACCGAGCAGACCCCGATGAAAGGTTGAATTGTTAATAAGTTTCATTGTTTTTAAGATTTTTTGGGATTCAAGTTCGACCCAGACCTCAAGTGGAAGTCATAAAAAAAAAAAAATAACAGACGTATATAAGATGTGCGAATACGTATATATATATATATATATATATATATATATATATATATATACGTGTACGAGAAAACATTATTCCGCGAACAAATGGACGTATGTCTTATGAGCTGACACTGTAATTTACAAAAGAATTTCGCTACACAATCCAACATTGACTACAGCGAAAAACTGCGTACATACGTATGCAACGACACATCAATGCGCGTATGCGCCCAGTCCAACACTGTTCATATATGTTTATGTTTGTGTGAGTTGCAATGCGTGAAAGTGCGTGTATGTATGTCTGCGTTTATATGAGTGCGTTCTGACGACAATTTTTCCTCCTACAAACATAAAAACACAGATATACGTATCCATAAATATATCCTAAATTTTCAAATTAATCAGTTTGTCTGACGATCACAAATGGCGTGAAACCCAGGTTCACAAATTCACATCAATCGAACTAAATATGTTAACTCTGTCACTGGTATTGAGCGCTTTTCAATAAGTACTGCGCATATATAATATATAAATGATATATAGTATATATAAAAAAAATTATATATATATATATATATATATATATATATATATATATATATATATATATACGTACATTTTTTTATATATATATATATATGTGTGTGTGTGTGTGTGTGTTTACATACATACATACATATATATATATATATATATATATATATATATATATATATATATATATATATATATATAGGTAACTATTCGTTTCGAAAAAACCCTCGAATTTTTGATTTCCCAATAATCAAATCAATCACGAAAGAAAAAAGGTTTTAAAAAAAGAAAGAGCTAGAAACATGAAAGTCTGTCGAAAAAAATCGCACAGATACAGTTTTAAAGCCCAAAGAAAAAAAACCGACACGAGTAAAGAACTAACTAACAAAAGAGCTCAATACAACCGTAGAGCAGATCTAGATAAACCTAGTGAGCCAGACAAACCTAACCAGGTTTCATCTAAGCGGATCGTCGGGAAATCTTTGTCTGGCTCCCTAGGTTTATATATATATATATATATATATATATATATATATATATATATATATATATATATATATATATATATATATGAACAATCTATCGCTAAAGAATCGAGAAGAATGACTGAGTTTTCGCTGTTCCCCAAGAAATACCTGGCACATTCATGCTCTGTCTTTACAAGAGTCAAATCAGCCCAAAATTAGATTATTGATGTCATATCTGGGCTGTAGCTGCATTATCCCCACTTTTTATGCCTGGCAGCTGTTTAGGTGAAAGGTGGATTCTTTTCTACCCTGCAACATCTTTCCAGCAGACGAAATGTTGCAAACCTATTGCCCGACACCTCTTTCTATATTACAAATGTTCATGCGAGCACCATTCTGTTGTTCTTCGAGTCCGGACTTTCAGAGCTCAGGATCGCCATATCTCATACACATGGTCGAATTATCTCAATATTGCATTTGTAAGTTCGAAGTTTCATTCTGATAGCAGACCTGTTATTTTGCAGAACAGATTCGAGAAATGATGCTCTACCGATCACTACGATTTTAACCTCCTCAAACTTACGGTCATATCATGTTGAAATAGCGGTTCCTGTAAGATCACCAAATTTAAGGAACGTCTGGTTAGATGGGTCACCATTTGATAATACCTGTACTTGTGGTGTTATGGATAATGTTTCGTAATTGTTAATCGGAGAATCGATTCCAGATACGTTCATTATATTCACCTCAGAATAAATATACATTTCTGCTATCGATTTACAATGTTATTTATGACTTTACGATATCGTCCTGGGGATGACGATAAACTGCTTACGCGTCCTGGGTAAGACGATAAACTACGTCAAACAGCAAATCTGATCAGGAAGTTTTGAGGAGCATGGAACCACCTCTTAATTGCTGGTGTTCCCAGGTTCACCATGACCCGGGAATGGTAGCACCTGTTAGGATCCCAGCTATGGGCAAATAGTTAACACCCAGACTTGTGTAAAAATAGGTTTTAATACTAGAATTACTTTATAATAAAAGAAAAAAAATTACCAGCAATAATTTTTGAAGGAAAATTTATTATCACCAATGTTTAAAAAAAATTGAAACAACGCCTTTATCCCCAGGGGATAAAGGCGTTGGTTAGATCAAGTAACAGGACCCAAACAGTGTGAGTTCAATACCCGGTTAAGGCAGTGGAGAACTTTCAGAGGGAAATTAACAGGAGATAACTTATAACTGACATCCATTAAACATGGCTCGTGAAACTAGAGCAGTCTACCCCAGTGAGCGAAATAAAGGGTTAAATTCGACATTCCAACCACCTGAAGAAGGCCGGAGCGTACAACAGCCGAAACGTTGTAATAAATATGGCGACGAAGATGTGGACAATAGTCCGAATAATCTAAATAATGTAGATAAATATTGGTCGTTTATATTTGAGACTATAGGCATTTACTTGGATCCCAGGGAACTTAACATTGGTCGCTTATATCAAAAGCTGTAAATATGGACTTGGTTCGAGAATAGCTGAATATTGGCCGTTTCTATTGAAGTACCTAAGCATTTGCTTGGTTCAATGATATGTAAATATAGATCCTTTTATTTATTTGTCTATAAGTATTTACTTGATTGGTGGTTGGTAAATATATTTCATTAATATTTATATGCATTTCCTTGGTTCAGAGATAAACTAATATTTTGATTTTTAAATCTCTAGCAAGAAATCAATATCTATCCGGTCTTGCAATATGGCGGCCGTGTGGCACACTCTTGGCTAGCGTAGCGAGTATTTATGGTCATGTAATTTTGTACTTTAAAATTTCTACAAGGTGTGAATATCGACGATACAGTAACCTTGTGTCATACTATAAAGGTAGTTTTAATTGCCTACAGTGTAGA